TTTTTTTTTTTTTTTTTTTTTTTGAAGTAATGGTTTAAGAATTGTGCGACAGGTCGGAAGCGAGAAACCGCAATCGGATATGGTCACGGCTGAAAACCAAATTCGCGGGTAGCTAGTTACTGGCTCACTGCCAAGCGAAGCTACAAGCAGAGACAGCCCTCTGCTACTCGGGAAATCGAAAAAATGGCCGCTAGAATAAACACCTCCATACAAAATTCTCTCTGGCTCTTAAACCCTTTGCAGAGTTCTCGCAATCTCAAAGCTACCCATTTGAGAACCCGCTTCAATTTCTATCAAAATCTGTTATCGGCCCCGTCTTCTTGTTCTTCTTCTTCTTCAAAACGAGCCATATTCTGTTCCTCTGCGAGCAATTTCAATTCCCACGATGGCGGAGCCGCTACAGACCCGTTTGTCATCACAACACCACTTTATTATGTTAATGCTGCCCCTCATATGGGGAGTGCTTATACCACCATTGCTGCCGATGCCATTGCGCGGTTTCAGGTTCCTTTTTCCCCTTATTCAGAATCTCCATACTTGTAGTTCTTGTTGGTTGTTCGTTTAGTTAGTGCTTTGGTAACTAGTGGGGCATCTGTTTAATGCTTGATTTGAATGAGCTATGAGTAATTGTTGCTCTTATCGATTATTGGGTGTTTTTTGGTCGGCACTTTGTAGCTGAAATTGAAGATGTTGTTATCATACTTGCCTTCTCCATTTGTTTTCTTTGTATGCTCATATGTAGTCCAGCCAATGTCTGAGAGCAAGATCGTTTATGTGAGATCCTACATCGGTCGGAGCGGAGAATAAAGCATTCTTTATAAGAATGTGGAAACCTCTCCTTAGTAGACGCGTTTTAAAAACTTTGAGGGGAAGCAGGGAAAATCCCAAAGAGAATAATATTTGCTAGTGGTGGACTTAGGCCATCAGAGCCAGATAACGGGCGATGGACCAGCGAGGAGGTTGAGCCTTGAAGGGGGTGGACATGAGGCGGCGTGCCAGCAACAACATTGGGACCCAAAGGGGGGTGGATTGTGAGATCTCACATCAGTTGGGGATGAGAACGAAGCATTCTTTATAAGAGTGTGAAAACCTCTCCCTAGCAGACGCGTTTTAAAAACCTTGAGGGGAAGCCCCGAAAGGGAAAATACCAAAGAGGACAATATCTGCTAGTGGTAGGCTTGGACCGTTAGGGTTTAGGGATTCAGTTTACACACTTCTCTCTTTCTGATACCTGCTGTTTTAGTTTGTTAATATTTGAATTTTGGAATACAATTTTACCATCAATGGCTCCTCAATGAACTTAAAATTTCAACCCCTTGTGTCAAATATAATAACAGAGGCTGCTAGGAAAGAAAGTCATCTTCATTACTGGCACAGACGAGCACGGGGAGAAGATTGCCACGGCTGCTGCTGCTCAGGGTTCGGGTCCAAGCGAACATTGTGATAACATTTCAGAGGCATACAAGACACTCTGGAAAGATGTAATCCAAACACATTCCATGCTTTTCTTCTCAGTTTGCTGCAATTAGTTTATCAAATATTTAAAGTTATTCATTATATCTTCTTTTGTTCCTTCTGGTTTCCCCCTTTGCAGCTAGATATAGCTTATGATAAGTTCATTCGGACAACTGATCCAAAACACGAGACCATTGTAAAGGAATTTTACTCGAACGTTCTTGCCAACGGAGATATCTATAGAGCTGATTATGAGGGACTTTATTGTGTCAATTGTGAGGAATACAAGGTGTTCTTTCTTGTCTTTCTCCTTCTACCCATCTGAAAACTCTGTATTTCGAATCATACGGTATTCACACGTTAAATTTCATGTTTACTATTAACAATTATTCTCTCCTCAATTATGATAAAATATCGATCGATCATCGCTTTTCCAATAGTCTGCATTAGTTCTCTTACATTTATAAGCACATTCATTTCTGGCCCCCCAGGATGAAAAAGAACTTCTTGCTGACAACTGTTGTCCTATACACCTGAAGCCCTGTGCTTCAAGGAAAGAAGACAATTACTTTTTTGCATTGTCAAAATACCAGAGATTGCTTGAAGAAACTTTAACACAGAATCCGGGGTTTGTGCAGCCTGCCTTCCGTTTGAACGAGGTGACTATAGGCGATTTTTCTACGTTTGTGTGTGAAATTTATTATTCATCTTCCATTATAAGTATTGCATTAGATACTATCTAGCTATTGACATTCTAGATTCTCCATTACCAGTAAAGCTAAATGTAAGTCTCGTAAACGCTCATCATATCTCGATATTGTATTTATATAGCCATTTTTTTTCTCGAACGACCGAATACCAATTCTATTGTTCGTTACAATCTTTTCCACCTTGCCGATCTCGAACCATCCTTCGTTTAATTCAGCACTATATCTTCCAAGGTGCAAAGTTGGATTAAAAGTGGCCTAAAGGACTTCTCTATCTCCAGAGCATCAGTTGAATGGGGCATTCCAGTTCCCAATGATCAAAAGCAAACCATTTATGTTTGGTTTGATGCATTATTAGGGTAATCTCTTCCTTATGTTCTTTGTAACCTCGTGTATTATGACTTTTTGAACCTTTATTAATTTTTTTATTACTACAAACGTCTGGTTTATGTCAATTTGCAACAATTCTCCACCATTTTCTAAGAAAATTGAAATGGATTCTACAGCCATTGCCTTCAATCTTAATCATATGAGAATTCCATAATGTAGTTATATATCAGCTCTATCAGAGAACGACGAGCAACCAAATTTACAAACGGCCGTTGCTTCGGGTTGGCCTGCTTCTTTACATTTGATTGGTAAGGTAAGAGATACATTCCTGTTATTCAACCATTAATGAACTCAAAATTCTGTGTTATTGTTGTATTCTGGAGGTGCTAATGGTCGTTCCCTTTTCATTTTCTATCTAGTTCAAGCTCGGTCGGTTGGATGCTGATCTAATGTCTTTGTTATTCTTTGTTTTAGGATATTTTACGTTTCCATGCAGTTTATTGGCCTGCTATGCTAATGTCTGCTGGACTAAAGCTTCCAAAGATGGTTTTTGGTCATGGGTTCTTGACGAAGGTATGTTTGGCCCCCTAAAGTTGCTACCGACAAAGGAATTTAGTTGGCGACTGTACCGGTCTAACGCTAAGGACGTAGAAGAGAGTTAATATTTTATTAAGTCTGCAAAGACGAAACTAGTCACCGTTACTTTATGTATAATGTTAATATTGATGTATCTTTGTAATTATACTAGTCACTATTACTTTAGTCTTCTGGTTCAAGCTTCTTTGTGAATCTGGTGTATTTTGGTTCCTAAACTTTATTTCATGCACCAACTCCTTTTGTTTTGACTTTATAGGATGGTATGAAGATGGGCAAGTCGTTAGGCAATACTCTTGAACCAAATGAATTGGTTCAAAAGTTTGGCTCGGACCCCGTGCGATACTTCTTCCTTCGAGAGGTGGAATTTGGTAGTGATGGAGACTATGCTGAGGATCGTTTCATCAATATTGTCAATGCGCATCTTGCAAATACAATAGGTATATTTTAACTGGAATCCCTATTGAAAGGAAAATTACAGCCCTTTTTAATGGAGGCTTCTGTTCGACACCATGTAATCTTGACGTTTCTTTTGCAGGAAATCTTCTTAATCGAACTCTCGGACTCCTTAAAAAGAACTGCCAATCTACTTTGGTGGTTGATTCGTCTGCTGCAGCTGTAGGAAATGCTTTCAAGGAAAAAGTCGAGGAATTGGTAAGGTCGACTTGGAAATTACATTGGTATTTGTTATCTGAGATGGCACGGAGTTGGCGAAATCATTCTATATCGATTTTTTCGTGGTTGAAATCTTCTCTAGGATCAATTCAGTAAATAGCTCAGTCACTGAGTCCACTGTGGCGTGGATATTGTCTGTTGTGTGTCCTCTGTTTATGACTTTATGACCAATAAGTTCACGAGTATTTGCAACCGTGTCGATTTTATTAGTCTGCCTGGTAGGTTGCGAAAGCTCGGAATCATTACGAAGAGCTCTCCCTATCATCGGCTTGTGAGGCTGTGTTGGAGATTGGCAATGCTGGAAATTCCTACATGGATGAGCGAGCACCATGGTCTCTCTTCAAACAAGGGGGTGCCTCATCAGACGCAGCTGCAAAGGTTATCCAGTTCAAGAATCCATTTTTGTTTATGCGCATGATTTTCGATATGAATTTTCGATTTACGATTCCTTCCAACATTCAACAACCCCTTCTCTGAATTCAATCTGGCTCAATTATCTTGACAGGACCTTGTTCTTATACTCGAGGCGATGCGAATCATAGCCATTGCACTATCCCCAGTAACGCCACGCTTAAGCTGGAGAATATACGAGCAGCTTGGCTACCCTGAGGACCAGTTTGCAGCTGCAACATGGGTCTTATACTCTTTTCATACTTGTGTTTTGTTCTTTTCTTGATATCTCAGCTCATTACCAGTGACTGATAATGTGACTTTTTGGGTGTAGAATGAGACGAAATGGGGAGGGCTGAAGGCTGGTCAGGTTATGGCTCCTCCAAACCCAGTCTTTGCTAGGATTGAACAAGCCATTGTTAATGGTGAAGAAGAAGCTCCCAAAAAACCAGTCAAAAGCAAGAAGAAAATAGCTCAAAAAGTGGCAGAAGCCTAAACCATGCCCTCAAATTTCAAGTCCTGTCTCTCTCATCTTCTGTTTTTCCTTCTAACAATTTTGTTCTTTCCATAAATGGAATATTTACCAATTATTATATCAGACAATTTAAACTAATTCTCAGCCAATTTATAATGGTAAAACATTGAACAGAACATTTAAATTCGATTTGGTAAGTTTTGGCCACTACAATTTAGAATATTCAAATTTTGGCCTCCATATAAGAGCCCATAATGTCTGTATACCTGTATATGTAAGTGAGCTTGTACCAAGTACAATCCACATCCAAAATGGAGATTCCTTAAGAACAATATCATGGTAAAACAAAAATTCTGTCTGTCACTTATTCTAAATAAAGAGAACGAGGTAATAAAGAACACAACACAGCGAATCGTACGAATCTCCTCTCAAACGTGTCCATTCATCTATTGAAAATTCTTTACTCTAGCCATACGACGTCATTTTCGGCATGATTATATTGAGCTTCCGAGCTTAGTTTTTTCTTGGGACTTCGAGTCTGGTTCGGAAATCGTCCTCCATGAGAGGAAGTCCGTCCCTCAACTTGATCTTTGGCTCCCAGCTGAGAAGCTCCTTTGCTTTCGTGATGTCAGGCTTCCTTTGGCGAGGATCATCGGGTGTGTTTTCCACCATGATGATCTCGACGCCAGGATTGATGAGCTGAACAGTTGACATTCACAATCACAGTTGAGATCTATGAATCTATGTTGTCATTTGGGTAACATAAATCCCAAATGTAAAAAAGAACCATATTACGTTGCCAGAATTACCTCTTTCACGGTCTCGGCTAGTTCGAGCATTGTGAATTCACCTGAATCGCAGAAACAAGAAGCGTTTAGGACTAGTCTGAATTGAAAAGGAGAAACTTATCTAGCAGAAAATTGAAGGAGGACCTGGGTTTCCAATGTTGATCGGTCCTGTGTTATCACCCTCCATTAGCCGAATGAGGCCATCAACCTTCATCCGTCAGTTAAAAATTAGGACATCGATCGGGACATAAAAAGCTGATAATGAGTACAGATGTTTGAATCTACACATGAACGAACCCGAACCAAGATTTTCTTACCATGTCAGAGACATAACAGAAACTTCTTGTTTGCGTTCCAGGTGCTTGAACTGTCAAAGGCTCGCTACTGCACGATATAAAGGTACACGGTAGCTTCTTGTTTATGTGGCGTGAAGAAATTAAACAAGCATTGAAGATGAAGGATAATGCTAATAGGGCGAGAAGATTGGATGACAACTACACTTACCGGATCGCTTGAGCAATGAAGTTGCTGACGACACGACCATCATCAATATTCATTCGGGGTCCGTAGGTGTTAAAAATTCTTGCAATCCTTATCTCTACAATTGTAAAGATTCACTTCAAGACAGTAAGTAATTGCACAGAAAATGGAGTCCTGGTTGTAATAATATGTGCAATCCAAAAAAACTCACCAATCCCGTGTTGCCTGTGGTAATCAAACATCAGAGTTTCGGCAACTCGCTTGCCCTCATCGTAGCAACTTCTCACACCTGCAAAAGTTTAACAGACATCAATATTCAACAATGCAGCCAGCTGACCCAACCTCCATTGCATCACATAATCATGATTCACGGACATATGAGAATGCTATTTGAATTCACATCACTTCGAATTCATATGAGAATCGTGTTGTTTGAGAGCAAATGAAAGGAGACATTAAGTGCATCTTTGAATCAAATTACCAATTGGGTTGACATTCCCCCAGTAGCTTTCATCTTGAGGGTGGATGAGAGGATCTCCGTATACCTCGGACGTGGATGTAAGCAAAATCCTGTTCGACAAGGCCAGTAAATAACACGACAGAAAAGTATTTACGAATTGAGGGAGAGAAATAGAATGGCAGTCTTGAAAACCTGGCTCCAACACGTTTGGCAAGTCCCAACATGTTTAGCGTGCCGATTACATTCGTCTTTATGGTCTGTGAGAACATCAACCAGAACAATATGAGCTATGCTTCATTCCCAAACCTCTTAACAATGGATATCTTCAAATATCATGACATTTTATCTTCGACCCAAGACGTATACAAATGGGATACAAACCTTTACAGGGTTGTACTTGTAGAAAATCGGAGACGCCGGGCAAGCAAGATGGTATATTTGGTCAACTTCAATCAACAGTGGCTCAGTGACATCTGAGTTAGAAAAATTGAGGGACGGTGTTAATCAGGGAAACAAAAAGAGAAAATTCACACGCCCTCCAAGTAACGTAAAATAAGGAATACCGTGTCGGATAAGCTCGAATCTAGGGTGGCCAATCCATTTTTTCAGGTTATCCTTCGATCCAGTGAAGTAGTTATCAGCAACAATAACCTAAAAACCAAAAAAAAAAAATGTCAACCCCACCAACACCACACATGTAATACAGGGATCATGATCTAGGCTCGTCTATACCGACGTTTTTCAATACGAATCCAACTCACAAGTCAGAATATTCAGAAGGGTTCTATCAATAATTGAAAAGTACAGAGATTGCAGCTAAAGTACTGAAGAAACTACCTCATTCTTCTCATTTTCCATCAATTTGTCCACCAGGTGTGAGCCAATGAACCCAGCTCCTCCAGTCACCAAAATTCTCATATTTGCCTGTTGTAAAGACCGACATTGGTTAAGGAAATGAACAATATTTCAAGGAAAAGAACATAATAATCCACGAGTTTAAAGCTCCAAAATGCCTCGTAATAAGATCAGTTTATTTCGATCCAAAATCTCCATTTCACCCACTCCAGCCATTTTAATAAGAACAATCTTGTAGTTCACAATTATGAAACAAATGCAAAAGAAATCCCCAACAGCCCTAAACAAAGAACAGGCTCCTCCCGTAGTATATTACCAAAGAAATGAGCCCAACTTTGACACAGAACAAGTAAAAACAAAAGATTATAATACTCACTCGAAGGCCATTCTGCCTCATCATATAATGCCAGAAAACATAAAACAGACACATTAAGGTAACAAAAGAATGATACCTGAAAAAATTTGGCACTTCTCAAAGGAGATGGAGTGGGTGGTGGCTTTGTGGAAGCATGGGAATTTCCATTGGAACCCTCTTTAGCCATTACTTCAAATACTGAATCATCAACATTATCAAACCTCACAATTGAATTCCAAACAACGAACCAAAAACTTCAACAGATTAAGAGACTTGGATTTGATGCAAATGGAAAATGCATCGCATTGGAAACGCAACGAAACGAAATCAAACTCAAAAAAAAAAGAAAGAACTAACCCTTCAAAGCAATTCGCCAATACCAAGGCTTTGATTCTGCTGTGTGAAAATATAAGCAGCAACCTATGCCTTTTATATAGCTATGAATAGGTTGGGAATTTTAAAAAAATTAACATAATAATTGAATATAAGAATCATTAGACCAAACAGCAACGACTTAGAGAGCAAGAGAGTGAGGAAAAAACTTCAAAAACACGAAAAGTGGAAAGCTTTTCTGCAACGGAAGTGAGCACTTACCTACCTAACAATTTCAGATCTAAATCTAGAATCTCATTGAACCTCAAGAAAACAAACAAATAAACAAGTTTGATGAACGATTTAAGCCTGCGATCAACTAAAGAAAGTGAATGATGTAGAGATTTTATACCTTAGGAGTAGCCGAATCAAAATCTGAGGACCTCGATTCTTTCGTTTTCGCCGTGGAATTTAAGGTTTCTGGCACAAATTAATGCATAAACCAGGGAGGGTGTGGGATTTTTCGACGGTAATCGAAATGGCGGGTCCCAAAATCGGAAGTGAGTTGAAAATGAAGAACGTTACGTTTCACGGAGATTAGCTGTCTTTTTGGATTAATGGTACCGTAGATTACACCTCATTTCGTTTATCAAATCTTAATCAAAATCATCCTCCTTAATTTCCCTTTTCATTTACGTTATCATTTTGACCTTTTCATTTAGTCTATAAATCTTTAAAATATTTATTATTTACATACGTATATTAAAGTTTTAAATTTAGTGTTTTTTTTTTTAATTTACTTATAAAATATGTAACTAAGATATATAACTAAGAGTAAACATATTCGAGGGTCATGCCTAAATTTAATTATGTCAATTTAAGTCTTCAGATATTGAACAAAGGACTTCAAAAGAAAATGAGTCAAGCCTACTCAAATACAGTCTAAAAAATGACTAAGACTCCAGAGGAGTCGAACCTCGATTACGGGGAGGCGCACTCTGTTCAAGGGGAGGTGTTGGATGATGAAAGTTCCACATCGGCTAATTTAGGGAATAATCATGGATTTATAAGTGAGTAATACTAATTCTATTAGTATGAGACTTTTTGGAGAAACCCAAAAGGAGAAATTGTGTTAATTTGTTAATACAATTTTCTCCGGGGTAAAATTATATTTTGTTCTCTTATATTTAATTATTTAATAAATTTTTTAATTTAATTTTAGGAAATTATTAACAAAAATGTTGAAATTGGAAATTGTGAAACACGTTTACTTATTGGAGTTTATTTATTTATTATTTTATATGTCATATTAAATATGAGAGATTTATTTGTAATTATCATATATATAGTAATTCTGGTAGTTATGGGCCAACTGAAAATTGGGTCAATTATGAGGCCATAGACTAAACCCGAAAATAATGGGCCGGGGCCCAAATATTCGTTTGAGAAAGCCACTGAAAATAAAAGAATGAATCGGAAGTCTCTTCCCTAGACTCTGCATCTCGAAGAATTTTGACGTCGGATCTTCTTGTTGGCCGCGTGTTTTTCTCTCAATCGATCAGATCGGAAGGTACATTAATCTCTCTCTTTTCCTCTCGGAATTTGATTGGATATTTCAGCAAATATAAGTTCAAGATTAGGATTTCGATTTCTTAGCAAAAAATGGAATCTCAATCTCTGGACCTGGAAATTCGTCTTCCGAACTGTTTGTGAATTACTACGTTTCAATGTCTAGTTTTGAAGAATCTGAAATGATTGTTTGTTCTCGAAGGATTTGATTTCCGTCCTATTGTTGCGTTGCGCAGATGATTGACGATCAGGCGTTAGGGTTTCTTGCCAATTTTCTCGGCATTTTTGTCTTTGCTTTGGTGATTGCCTACCATTACGTGGCGGCTGATCCGAAGTATGAAGGCAACTGAGATGAGAGACCTCAGATGCTTAGATTGATCGAAAAAATGCATTACTGTTAGACGTAGGTCATTTTGATATGACAGGTTTTTCTTCTTCTTCTATGAGAATTTTCTCCTAGCAACAATCAATGTTAACAGCAATTTCATTATGCAATTATAACTTATTCTCGTAATTTTTCGTGGTTATTTGATCGATTGCTTCAGTAGCTCTGTAGTTGATCGGATTCGTTCAAAAGAAAAAAAAAAATCTTCTTCGTCTTCTTCTTCTTTCATATTAGCTACTCTTGCATTTACATGTTTTTCACAAGCGCTCACTTCTTTCAATAGTTTAACATCTCAAGTAGAGTAGATTTCTTCGAGAAAAGTTCTGCACTATCCATGGTGGTATGGAAAGAATGCACACTTGCATAGTACTGATATTCAGATCCTGTCCTATTAGTATTCTTCTTTTTTTTGGGCTTAAATTAATTACGTCCATTTGTCAACCTAAAGGCTTGGCCCTATGCGGTTGGGAGGATATATATATATATATATATATGTGTGTGTGTGGGCATGGCTTAGTCAGTTAATTTCGCAATTCAGATAAGATTAAGACGGGGGATTGGGTTAGATTTCTAAAAGCATGGTTCTTGCTTTCCTTCCCGGAGCTTTGTAGTTTGTCCATTCCTTGGGTGATCCCTTGCTCTCACGTGCCAGTATTTGCTTGTCGTTTAGGTTGGTGAATGATATTTCTGCTCATTGCGGTCACCCCGTAATTCCTAATTTTCAATTTTATCTAATCAATTTATAAATATATTTACGGTTTTAAAAATTTAGGGATGTAATATGAATTTTATGTACTTCCAATTGTGCTTCAAGTAAAATTTAAAATGGTCTAAAGGAATTTATTAGTCACAATTAAAAATTGATTAAACAAATACAAAGTAGGATTTAATTTATAATTTTGTTGAAGAATATAAAATAAATTTTATTTATTTATATATAAGTTTTTACGGTTATAGTTTAGTATTTATATGATAAAATTAATTATTTATTAAAAATTAGACACTTCTGCCCGTTTTTTCGAGGCAGCTTGTCCTCGCTTAGGTGCGTCGAGCGTTGGAGATATTGTCTTTTTTTGGACTTTTCTTTTTGAGTTCCTCTTCAAGCTTTAAACGCTCTGCTAAGGAAAGGTTTCCACATCATTACAAATGGTGTTTTGTTCTCTTTCCCAACCTAGACGTTTCAGGTTTCTCCTCGAAGTTTTGAATGATCGGCTAGAGAAAGGTTTCCACACCCTTACAAATGGTGTTTTGTTCTCCCCCAACCCCGTCACATTAATAGATTTTCTTTTATAAAAAAAATAATGAAAGATATGCAAGTTGAATTTTCAACTTGGAATAAATATTAAAGGTAGAAAAAGAAAAAATTCGTTCCGATATCTGTAACATGACTGCATACAAATCGTTTATTACAATTATATATATTTATCGATAAACAAATAAAAATAACATTTAATTATAATTTTAGCCCATGAAATTTTAAATCCGTATATAATATATATATATATATTTTTTAATTTTATGTTTGAATATTTAAAATATTTAATAATAATAAAAAAAAATAAATAAGTTACCAAATTGAGAGTTAAATAATCTGAAAATATTAAATTAAAAGCTAACGTAGATACAAAATTCAAAATTTATAATATAAAGAAAAAGTAAAACTATAATATTAATTATTTTAGATTAAAAAAAGAAAAAAAAAACAGGGAAAGAAGCATCGAGAACCAACTAGAGACTTGAAAAGTAAACCGTCGTATTTTGATACGCTGGCGGTCCGAACTCTTTTAAAACCTTTCAGCGCTCCTATTCTTTTCCATTCGAACTCTCTAGAACCTTTTTCCCTTCACAATTTCTATATAAATTCTCTCTCTTAGCGACCTCTTCCTTCTCATTCTGAATCTCTTAACCCTACGTTTCAGCCACCAATTTCATCTTTTCCATTCTATTTTTCGTTCAGATTCTTTTTGCAATCGTTTTGAAGAGAAACTATGGCCGGTAAAGGAGAAGGCCCGGCGATCGGAATCGATCTTGGAACGACGTATTCTTGCGTCGGTGTGTGGCAACACGACCGAGTTGAGATCATTGCCAACGACCAGGGCAACAGGACGACGCCCTCGTATGTTGCTTTCACCGACAACGAGCGTTTGATCGGTGATGCGGCCAAGAATCAGGTCGCCATGAACCCTATCAACACCGTATTTGGTAACTCTTCTTTCCTTTTGCTTTGAGATGTTAGTTTTTGGGAGTTGACTCCTCGGATACAGTTTTATCTTTAGAACCTGTCTTAGCATGATTTTTTAGAGTTGAATCAATACGTCGATCGTGTTCTGATGTTGTTTCTCCGTTTTTGAGCTGAAGTTTTTTATTTTTTATTTTTTATTTTTTTATTTTTTGACGGAAGTATTATAGTTTTGTGTCCAGGGTTTTAAAGTCCTTGTCTATGTCGTTTTGGCTTTTCGAACTGCATCTCGAGTAGTTGATTAGCAGTGATGTTGTCTTACGATATCTATTCTTTCCTCCATGGATTTTTGAAGCTAGTTCGGTTTTCCTTATCTGTAGTTTTATGCTGAGTGTGAAGCGGATGCCCGTATGTTATTTTGTTAATATTGATTTTGATTTCTTGTTCGGCCAGTTTAGTTTTTCGTATCTGTAGTCCTATGCTGTAGAACTATTAATTGATAAGTTTCTTCTGCATGTTAACAGATGCTAAACGTTTAATTGGCCGAAGGTTTAGCGATTCATCCGTCCAGAGCGATATTAAGCTCTGGCCATTCAAAGTTATTGCTGGCCCCGGCGACAAGCCCATGATTGTTGTAAACTACAAGGGTGAGGAAAAGCAGTTTTCGGCTGAAGAAGTATCATCTATGGTGCTCATAAAGATGAAGGAGATTGCCGAGGCGTATCTGGGAACAACAGTGAAGAATGCTGTCGTCACTGTCCCTGCCTACTTCAACGATTCGCAGCGTCAGGCCACCAAGGACGCTGGTGTCATTTCAGGTCTAAATGTGATGCGTATCATCAACGAACCAACTGCTGCCGCCATTGCTTATGGTCTCGACAAGAAGTCTACCAGCACTGGCGAAAAGAACGTTCTAATTTTTGATTTGGGTGGTGGTACTTTTGATGTTTCGTTGCTCACAATCGAGGAAGGTATCTTCGAGGTGAAGGCAACTGCAGGAGACACCCATCTCGGTGGGGAGGACTTTGATAACAGATTGGTTAACCACTTTGTGCAAGAATTCAAGCGGAAGAACAAGAAAGACATTAGTGGGAACCCGAGAGCTCTCAGGAGGTTGAGAACTGCTTGTGAGAGGGCGAAGAGGACGCTTTCCTCCACAGCCCAAACTACAATTGAGATCGACTCTCTCTACGAGGGAATTGACTTCTATTCCACCATCACCCGTGCTAGATTCGAGGAACTCAACATGGACCTTTTCAGGAAGTGTATGGAACCAGTTGAGAAGTGTTTGAGAGACGCCAAGATGGACAAAAGCACCGTCCATGACGTTGTTCTTGTTGGTGGCTCCACTAGGATCCCCAAGGTGCAGCAATTGTTGCAGGATTTCTTCAATGGCAAGGAGCTTTGCAAGAGTATTAACCCTGATGAAGCTGTTGCCTACGGAGCTGCTGTTCAAGCTGCCATCCTGAGCGGAGAGGGTAACGAGAAAGTTCAGGATCTGTTGCTCCTGGATGTCACCCCTCTCTCACTCGGACTCGAAACGGCCGGTGGTGTGATGACTGTTCTTATTCCAAGGAACACCACCATCCCCACCAAGAAAGAACAAGTTTTCTCTACATACTCCGACAACCAACCTGGTGTGTTGATCCAAGTGTACGAAGGTGAGAGGGCAAGAACACGTGACAACAACTTGCTGGGTAAATTTGAGCTCTCCGGCATCCCTCCTGCTCCAAGAGGTGTTCCTCAAATCACAGTCTGCTTCGACATTGACGCCAATGGTATTCTGAATGTTTCCGCTGAGGATAAAACCACTGGTCAGAAGAACAAGATCACAATCACCAACGACAAGGGGCGGTTATCCAAGGAAGAAATTGAGAAGATGGTGCAGGAAGCAGAGAAATACAAGGCCGACGATGAAGAGCACAAGAAGAAGGTTGAAGCTAAAAACTCATTGGAAAACTATGCTTACAACATGAGAAACACCGTGAGGGATGAGAAGTTCAGCTCTAAGTTAGACCCAGCTGACAAAAAGAAGATCGAAGATGCCATCGAGGGAGCAGTCCAGTGGCTGGACAACAACCAACTTGCGGAGGCCGACGAGTTTGAAGACAAAATGAAGGAGCTTGAAAGCATTTGCAACCCAATTGTTGCTAAGATGTACCAGGGTGCTGGTGGACCTGGCATGGGCGGTGCTGCTATGGATGACGACGATGTCCCCCCTCCATCCGGTGGAAGCGGCGCCGGTCCCAAAATTGAGGAGGTCGACTAAATTTTCTTTAGATCCCCATCTTTTCTTTTTCTCTGTTTGTTACCCATCGGGTTCGAGGCGATGGAGTTTTATTTTGTTGTATGACTCACATATATTATGGGCTTATTTATTTCCGTCCACCGATTGAAGAATGTTTTTGTTTGAACGAATAGCCATTGCAATCGAATTTAGTCTTTACAGCCATTTGTTACTGATCAAATTTAAAGCTAAATTTTCACAAGCAGTTCTTAGAACTCGGCTAATACTTAGTTGGAAAGATTCCTAGCTTCTAAGTTGAAATTATATACAACAGGTTGGCATTGATGGTCCTTCAAATTCGTGCGTTCTGACCTTTTGCAATAATTAGACAACAATCTCCCTTGAACTTTGGTTGTACCGTTCGAACGTGAGATGTTCACGAAGGTCTCAGATTCGAACGGATCTGAACTGTAGTTATCAGCAGCTTGAGATGGGGAAATGCTCCATCCTAGACACAAAGGCTACTAAATATGAACATACTATTTAAGCATATTTTGTGGAAGAATGAAGGAAGTTGGGATGTGTTATTGAAATGTACAAATATTAGAAAGAATCAAGAATTGGATTGATCATTAGGCTCAGACAATACACATCTCATCACGATCTTCGCCACATTGTCCTTCGACATTTCAAGAAGGAAGATCTCTAAAAAGCTGAGCTAAGAAACGAGAGCGGAGAGGATTAAAAACCCAAGCCTCAACTCTTTATTAAAATCACCACTCTATGTCAATTCATTCGCTCTGCTATACAGAGCAGAGATATTTCCCTTTGGGCACCCCAACCTGCGGAAGACAAAGTTACTTCTTGTTTAGAGATATTTCCCTTTCGAAACTCTTAGATAAAACAAATAAATTGGTAGATGAAGTTTAAAGACAATCACCAGATTTTTCTGAATGACAAAACTTCAATTTCTTCGTATGTCTAACTGCATTTCTTCCTCTTACGATGAGGAATGGGTAACTTGTCCTTATTTTCCTGCTCAGGATCATATCATTAGTTTCTCGACTGAGAAAAAATTACAGAAAAAGTTATCTGAATGACTAACCGTTGTTTGAAGCATGAACTTCAGTCCTGCAATGAGCTCCAGGAAGTACTCATACGCAGCCTTATGAGGTTCCTACATTCGGAAGTAGAAGTAGCTTGCATTAGTTCCAAGTGGATCAAGAACTATAACAATATGCCTAGGAGGAGAATAGTCACCTCGATGCTTGGTGGCAAAGGCAACCCTTCTACCACGGGGGCCTTCGGAATCTTGACACTCTGGGTACCTGTAACATCATCTGTCATTGTAACGCTCCAAGAGGGTGGGTTTAATATGCCCAATGCCTCAAAATCAACCCCAGAATGAACCTCAATAGGACTAGAGTTTTTAGAAGAGACGGCATCAGCCTATAAGAGACACAAGAAGAAAAAAAAATAACTGATGGAAGCTTATATTGTGGACATTGTTTTGAATAATACTATTGCAATAACAGAAAGGATTATATGGACCCTGAATTTCCAAAAGCATATTAGCTCCAAAATCACCACTTCCAAAAGTAACTTATCTTCTACATGAATGACTACTAACAGCTTCAGGCACTTCGAAAATTTATAAACATGCTAAAAATGCATTGTTCGGTAATGGATATAGAGAATGGCCAGATCCTTCCATGCATAAGCATATGCATGTCGAACCTAAAACCCGACTTTTCCAAATGCGTAAACAACTTATTGATAATATAATACTGACTTACCATTAATGTCAAGTCTAAATCTACATCATGTCCTTCACAGCCAAAATAGCAAACGTCTATCTGTGGAGCAAAACCATGCAATCGAATTAGAAATGCTGGAGCAAAAAATAAAATTTTGAAATTTGTTCTTGAAAAATTCACCCGAAACTGTAATCAGATATGTATCCTAAAAGAATCTAAAAGGATAATACCCTTTCCCTAGCACGCATAGTTGTATTTTGAAGTCTGTGAACTAAGATTCCAATCAGAGTGGAAATTTTATACAAATCTGTTTTGTTCCTCTTTTCTGGCCTCACACAATCAAATTTGAATTGTTCCCTCAGAGACAAAAATGACTATACCTTTGGTTTATCTACAGCTTTAAATGTGTGGAACGTTGGAATCTCAAAATCCGGATGCTTCAAAGTAGCATATGCTCCCTCGTTATTGTAGCTCTTGCGACCAAACTGCATAACATCCAGAAGGGAGAATTTATCAGAAGTTTTCATATCAAATGGAGGAGCCAGTTTTACTGCCAAATAATAAACTGCATGCAGTACCACAAAAAATTGTTCTGTCATGCAAACAAAACATGAGCCCACAACTAAAAAAACTGCAAATATACTGACATATCAGATTCACAAAGATGATAGGAAAAGAAAAGGTAGCAAAAGGAATGTACTTTGTTTTTTTTTTTTTTTTTTTTTTTTTTTTTTTTTTTTTTTT